CCCCCCCCCCCCCCCCCCCCCCCGCAGAACTGTTTGCATTTAAAAGCAACAGATCTCTGCTGTGATAGTAATGTCATAAAATATCTTCTACCTTAATGTACTTAATGACAATTATTGTAATTAATTTTATAAGCCAAGAATAGGGGTAAGGGTAAATTTTGACAGCAACCATAGTGAATTTAGTGTTATGTTGACTTATAGCTGGGGTGGACTCAATTCTGTTAAGGAGAGTTTTGAGTCTAGAACTTGTGAACTTGATCTACTGGGGTATAAATAAACTATCAATCACACTCCAAGAAGCTAAAAATAGTGGCTTTTTAAAAGGATTAATGTTTATAATTCCGTTTTTTAAAACATAGGCATGGTGGTAGTTGTGCTGAATATTTGCAAACACTGGCATTTAATCAATAGGTATCAAAACAATTCATGACTTCCAGTCGTTTTTATAAAATGGAAGAGATGACAGTCCTCTAGGAGAAAGGATCACTTGAGTTTAAAGTTTTGTAGATGTTGATACATGTTGATTCTTTCGCTTGAAAGTAGAGCATGGTTCTGTTTTACCATATCTTTTTATGCTATTTTTTTTTGCTTTCTTCGTGCAAGTGATGGGTTGGCAGAGTGATAGGTTAAATGACAGTGCAGTAGATAACAAACCACACAATACTAAGGAGCCTTCATTACGTGTTTTATTATTAACCAGCATGTCTCTCTTTTGTTGTTAAACTGTGATGCTTTGAATAGTGTTACCATACCACCTATGCACCCATAGCTTTATTGTCTTTGGTGCCAAATTAAGGCACAGAGAAGCGATACGGTTTTTTTAAGGTCAAAGACTAAGTTAAGAATTTGCCTAGATATAGCATGCTTTTATCTGATACGTTCACCACAAGATCATCTTTCAGAGCGATGGTTAGTATTAAGTAGGTAATTTTGGCATAGTCTATCTGCTGTCTCCTCTGCAAACCACAGTACTTGTCTATGAATGTTTACATGTTGGTCATTCATAAACCTAGGTACATGAGTTCTAGATATTTTGTTTTGTAGAAGAAGGTAAAGGCATACATAATAGTTAAACTTACAGACAGTTACCAGTCAGATTTTCATCCTTTCCTTCACAAAAGCATGAGGCTTTGTTGAAGACAAATTGTTAGCTATCTCTATAGTGGGATCTCTTTAGTGGGAGCTATTGGCAATAGGTGAACGGTTGGACTGGATGATCTTTTAGGTCTTTTCCAACCTTGGTGTTTCTATGATTCTATTAATCCTTGTCCATTTTTCCTTTGTAAAATAAGTACCTGCAGCTGAATATTCATCCTCTTAGGAAAAAAAAAAAAAAAAAAGAAAAAAAAAAAGAAACAACCTCAAAATGACCCAGTCCTTATCATTTTGCCGCTTCTTCCTCCTTACTCACCTCTTAACTCAATTCAGTAATTTATCAGTGTCATCTCTGTTGAGTGCTCCCTTTCCTTGTTGTAGGTGCGTTAGTCTATCCCATCTGAAAATTTTGCATCCCTTCTTCAGCATAGTCTATGAGTTACTGCAGAACTTGCCAACTGTATATGCATCTATCTCATGCAAGTCTCATCATTTTCTGTGTAAGGCTAGACTGCTGTCTTCATATTTTTACACTATTTGAAAATGTAAATGTACTTAATTTTATACAATGTCCATTTTCATATTTTCAAGTAAATTTGACCTCATTCCAGTAAGCCTGTAAAAAGAGTTAATTCACAATAACTATAGTTGCAATTCAAATTTTGTTGTCTCAATCAAGCCCAATTTTTTTATTTTTATTAGGGCCTGTAATCTCTTTTCATACCTGTAATACCTTTTCATTCCTTCACAACTGATTTTGTCACTGTACCTGTAAGTCTCTCAGCTGTTCCATGAGCGTAGGTTAGAAATTGGCGTTTTGTGTGCTTTATTGCCTTTTTGAATAAGGCAGAGTATTTTTAGTTATGCTCAGTTGTGTATTGCCTTGGTCCTCCATTGAAATCAAGGGACTTTAAAAGCGTATGAGAAATACTCGGATTTATTTTATGAAATCTTCTTGCTATGCACCCAAGTGTTCAGACTCTTCAGAGACAAGATAACTGAATTCTCAAAGAAATAAATGATTGAGAGCTGTTTTTTGTTGTTTTTCTTTTTTTTTAATGAAGAAAGTTTATTGCAGGTCTTTGTTTACAATTCTAGTAGAAAGTATAGCTAAGAAAGAAAATGACCTATGACCAATTGAAAAGAACGAGCAAAGGAAAAGAATAAGCTGAATACATACAATATTGAACGAAGCAGTATGGTAAAGATAAAACCTCCTCTATCCGTGACTGCAGATTAAGCATGTCTGCTCCCCAGTCCATGTTTCCAGTGCCTGCACCATGTGAGTGGGGGGAATAGTGCTGACACACTGCTGCTAGCTACTGATGGCGGCTGCTTGGAGTAGCTCCTGTCAGCTCTCTCTAGAACTAAAAACTGCTCTGGCCATCCTAGCTAGGTAACATGCAGCAGGCATTCTGTTTGCAGGCCCAAAGTCATTTTATTGTATCTAACAGGTAGACTGACTGGAGAAGTGTGTGATATCTGTGATTAGGATAGAAAATGGCTAGAACAAAAAGGCTTCCTTGACTCTGGTCTTCATTACAAATAAATGACCAGCGCTTGTGTTTACATCCCAAGTCCCTTTATTAAAATTCAAATTAGCTAAACACTACCCTGCAGTCTGCAAGTCTGATAACAAACTTTATGCAAAAAAATGACCACCCTTTCCTGTATCTCCAGTGTTCGCCTCTCAGTATTTTACAGTTAGTTCCCTACTTTTTTTTATTATTTTTTTATTTTTTGTGAAAATATGCCTCTTCAAGTTTGGTAGACACTTGCCTAAAAATAGAGGCATCAGAGTAGAAGGTAAATGGAACTTGTCTTTCCTTGTCTTCCTCTCCTGCTTTTCTGAGAACCCTCATCAGAACTCAATGGGGCCCGCTTGTACAAGTGAGGCTGGGCAATCCTTCATCATCTCAGGTGCCTTTGCGGTTAGCTACACATTAAGTTAGTCTACTTAGAGCCCAAGAGTGTGTGAATGCAGGAAATTAAACTAACACAGATAACTTAAAAATCATCTAACATTACCAGAATCTTTTCTCCCTACTGCTGATGGCAAAGAGCACTCAAAAAAACCACATTTACTCACTCGCTTTTGAAGTTCAGTGTCTTGTGGCAGAGCCTGCTTTGGGCTCGCCACAGGAGGGTGCAAGAAAACTGAAAACAAACTGTCATGTGAAATGAGGAGAAACCGTGGCAAGAGCACAGGGATGTTCAGGTGGATTTGGTTTAGTCAGTCCTACACACCAGGCTGCTCCCCAGCAAACTCAGGAGACGCTGAGGTGGGGAGCGTGGGGGATCTGACTGGCTCAGAAGCAGCAGGGAGGAGGGTCTCAGACCCGGCTGCGTGTGGATCAGCAGCTGCAGCAGTAATTGCAGAAGTTTTCTCCATTCCAGCTCCACCGGAGTTCTGACAGCGCTTGCTGCAGAAAATCTGACTCTCTTTATCTAGAGCTGTGTTCTAAAAACAGACAAAAAACCCAAGGCAAAAAATACAAAAAACAGCAGTTAAATCAAAGCCCTGTGTTGAACTTGGGGTTAAAACAATCTACAAGACATTAAGTGCATGCGTTAGAGCCAGAAAAAAAGGAGAAATAACATTAGAAAACTTATGAAATTGTTTTTTGTTTTGAAGTGCTGGCATTGGAAAACTATCTTAAAGATACTTATTTGCCGTGGTGATCCAAATTGACAGTTTTTTTGCAAGTCTGATGTGGAGAGAAAAATAACAAGCGATTGTGATATTGTCTGAACTCTCTTTACATTAGCAAAATGTATGTACCTGCATTTATCGAGACACAGAGAGTTAACTAGATATCTTTTAATTTGAGCATAATATGCGCTTCTGTAAAGACCAGAACTACTGGTGTGTGAAGGTAACAGCTGGAAGCTGGGGAGTCTTTCTATCTCAAGTCGAATCCCTTACTGCTTGTTTTTAAAAAGTTAACAGAATGCAGTTACAAAAATGCATCATTTCTGAAAAGTGTTGCTAAAAAATGCAAGTGGGAGAAAGAGTAGCAGATCAGCCTGGAAAGTGAGAACTCTGTGGTGCATCAGGTAGATTGTCTTGGAAAATGTGGTATGTCTGCTAAACCATACTACTTTCATATCCTCTGAAAGCTATTGCAAATTAATATTATATTACACTGTGGGGTAATGTTTCATTTCTAGTAGAATGTCTGAAGGTGAGCAAGAGGGACGTCTGGTAGTTCCTGTGTCAGAAATTTCAGAATTGTTTTCCAGGATTTGGAAGGACAGCATAATGGGTCTTGTTTCACAGTTTGAAGGCTGATACTGATCGTTACAAATCGCTATGCTTGTTGGCTTAACCACAAGTACCAATGAGAATATAGACTTAATAGAGATTAAGTTCTTTCTAGTTTATTCGGTTATGTGGAATGGTACAAGATGCACTTCCTCTGGTCAAGTGCAAATTGATTGGGCTTTCTACAGTAATCTGCAAATCTGTGATACTTGTAGTGAGAAGACAGACACAAATACGTGCTTCACCTGCATGGAAATGTCTTCCTATTTACGTACAAGCATTATAAAACACTTATGTAGCAATTTGTTTTCAGTCAGAATGTTCTACTGTTAAAATAAATTAGGTGCTCTGTCTTTTATGTTCTTTCATTTAATTGTTCAGAAGGACTTCTGTAATGCAGTGGTTTCCAAGTGTTAGTGGAAATTGTCTAAATCTTTTGGTCTGGATACTGAAATAATTTTCTGATAGGAGTTAAATATGCCATGTGTTTTTCTGCTGTAGTTTATTGCATCAAAGATACCAAGGACAAGGCAGAACCTAAGTAGTGAGCCTCTGTTCTCCTAATTAACTGTTCATGTTAAGAAGTGAAAAATCATTTCACTGCGGGCTATCAGAATTCAGATTTCTCTTTTATCTGACTTGAGTAAAGAAAGCTTGACTGGTAGCTCCAGCTTTTCAAGTACAGGTCTTCAATAGTTTGCAGGTATATGGAAGGCAGGTTGTTCTGGAATTAGTCTCACAAATTTTATTTGTAATAGAAACAATTTCTATTTCAGTAGGTTGCGTTTTAGGTGGTTTTTTTTTTTCACCTCTCTGTGTCCTTCACTGTGGTACCTTCTTCGTACAATTCCTGTCTTTTCACTCATGATGCAGTTCAACATTTTGTTAGTCTTGGCTGTTGTCTGTGTCACATTGACAAGGAAAATTTGCCAGCTGTCAGTTTGCTCCTGGGACACAGAAGGGTATCCAATGTTATAACTTCATGGAGTGAACAGTAGCAGATATATACTTTTTCTAATTGCTTTCAGATATTTTAAGATGTGCACGTGCACAGAATTGCTCTCAGGGAAATGAACTGAGTGTCTGAGGAAGTGAGAAATAACTAGTTGTTATCAGTGCTAGCTTAGAAAATTTCAAATATGCCTCCCTTAATACACAAAACTTCTTTGCAAGTGTTTAAGATTTTTTTACTTTGGTGTTCCTGTGTGGCTTTAGCTCTTTTCCACTTCAGACTGGCTGAATTATTTCTCCTTTCTTCTTGTGACAGACAGAGCACATGTATTTTTTTTTGTGCAGCAGAACAAAGCACTGCAGTTAGTACGTACCATTGCCTTGGACCTATTCAGAGGAAAGCAATGCAGGCATGGGGAAAGGAGGAAAAAGGAAGGAAGCAAGGGACAGAAACTAGACTTACTTAAAGCAGAACTAACACAATTGCAACAAATATTGATTAACAGAACAGTTTTAAACTGACAAAAAAAAATCAATAATGAGTTAACAGCAGTATGCTTTTAAGGGGCAGAAAAAGTCTCCTATTCAAGAACATTGAAGTAAGTATGTGCAGTTTTACTTATCTGCCACATGATGGTATTATCTGCATTGTCTAAGTGGCAATATTTGAATGAAGTGATGCTAAAAGGGATTCCATTAAATATGCAGGTGGACTGATCTAGCAATAGCAATGCATTGCAGTACACAGTGGTTACAATACTGTGCTTGTCCAAATGTTTATAAGTGTTGATGTAAGTGAAGCCCAGGAACATAACTAAATTTTAATGCTGTAAATAATCCAGAGCAAGAGTAACAAAATTTAGGGCTTAATTCTCATTAAATTACACTGTTTTGAGCAGTTTATTTTCCCTTCAGCATTAACTCCAAGCTGCATTCAGAACTAAATATTTAATTGTTTCCATTTAATTGTTTTCGTTCCATAACTGTTAGGAGGAAATAGGGCAGGAAAAAGGAGAATTGAAAGATTTAATAATATTCTTGTCTGAAGGGTTGGCAGTAGTTACAGAATTGAGGGGGAAAAACCACACCAATAAGAAGCCAGAAGCTACACTGTGTCAGAGATCTGAGATAGGCTTAAGTCACATGCAAGTTGGAGAGGGGCTGAGAGTTAGAATTAAAATTGCTTTTATTACATATATTGCATTTTATACCAGTTTTCAGCTTCAGGCTTATCCATAGTCTCAACAGAATAAAGAATGAAGCTCTGAAGTCCCTCTCAAACTGTCAAGTCAAACTGTCAAATGAAATGCAGACAACAGCATGAACCTGAAATCCATTTTCTGACTTCTCTCATTTTTAGGTTTCTACTCTTGCTACTGCCTATTTAATTCATGTAAATGTATTTGCAAAAGTATAAACATACGCACACATGTTATTTAAGTTTACCTACTTTCAGATGATAAGAACAACTCTTTGGTAACGTAAGTGGGCTGTATATTCAGAATAGTTAAAGCTATCAAGGAAAAAAAATCACTGGTACTTTACTATCAGTGATAATTTTGTGTTTTTTCTAGTAATGAAAGATACTATTTGTATGCAGAGCACATCCTTAAATTAGACAGCAGTGGGCCTCAATATGGGAATGGCAGCTCAAGCTCTTGAACTGTTGCATTTTTCTATGAAAAAGTGGCCCATCAACTAGAAGCACAGTTCTGAGCGCTGATAGCAGGGAACTCAACTGTGATTTTCCTACATCTACTTAACTGAAGTAGTTTCCTTTGTACGCTTTGATTAATGTTCCCTGTAAGGAGCATACATAACATACATAGCTAGAGTTGCAGTGGGACAAAATTAATGTGGTAAATATTCAATACTATGAAAAGAATTTCTGAATGGGAATCTGGTTTTCCCCACAAACACAGTATTGAACAACAGTATGCTCAAGATGGAGCATTGCTTGGGCAGAATGGAGGAGCCTACTTCAGCAGCTAGCTGATCAGTATGATTAAAATTACAGCTTTTTTAATGAAGGATTTCGAGTTAATAAACTCCATTTCAATATTATTACTACTTAGTGTTTACATGTATCTGAAAGCTTGCTTTTGTAGCTTAGCTAGCACACCATGATAGACTTGGCTGCTCTCAAGCGACAGTAGGACAATCCATACAGTACACAACTAGAATTAGGGACTATTCCAGCTTTGCTTTTGCTGTTCTTACACCACACATGCTCACAGAGTACTGTTAGAAAAATATGCTAAGTACAATATGAATACATAAAAACTTTATTTCTCTTACCATGATGACAGAAACCCCAGCAGATGTATTATTTTGCTTGGGTAGGGTGTTGTTAAAGTGCTGCTTCAGTTTACCTGTTACTTCAGCTTGCATATTATTCTCTGGGGAAGTGTCATCCTGTATTAGAACAAACACAATACTGAAGGTAAGGAAAAAAAATAAATTAATGTAACTGAGCAAAAGAGAAATGTTCCATTAGCTAGAGGTACTACCTCAAAGTAACTGTTCAGGTAAGCAGGCCAAAAATGAATGCCCTCTATTACTTGAATGATGGTTCAACCCATTTGAGACAAACTATGTAGGAAAGGAACCTATCAAGTACTCTTTTGTGTCTGACCTTCTGTTTCTTAAAATGCCATGTGAACTGCTTAACTTCAGTCTGTGAATTTGTCCCACAGCTGTGAGCAACAACTTTTACCTTTTAACTGTACATACAGCTATGCTTGGTTAAAAGTGTATTTGTCATTTGGCTTTATTTGCGTAAGCATTTTAAATGGCCCATCACATCCCCCAGATTGAGGAAACAAAATACAGTGCCATAGGCATCTATGCATAACAGCTCCTCTCAAAGGTAAAATCATTACAGTTGTCTTCTCTTGTGTGAGAGAAATCCGTATTTTCTCTTTTAAAATGCACGTGGAAATCAGCATTGGCTACATACATGTAAACCTGGTATTTATCAGTAGAAAACTGATTTGAAATCAATAAGCAACATACTTTGGTGTTCCCCCACATGGCTGTCCAGCAGCTGTATGTTATCAGCTTAGTGCCAATGTATTTTATTTGCTAATTCTCTTGTGAAAAAACAGGCAGTTATAATTTCTTTTAAGTAGCATTGCAGCAAATGAGATGCCAATGTGCAGAATAGTCCTTCCTTCCAAGTACAGTTTTAAAAGATGATCTTTTGTGATATTTCACACTCAATCTAGATGATGCCCAAGTCACATCTGCTTGTCAGGTTATGTTTAAGAAGCAGAACAAAAACCTCCAGCACCTTCTAATCTCAATCAACAAGTGATACCCTTCACTCTGTTATGTTAGAACACGGTTGTCAACAGAGTTAGCAACAGCTGAAACTTAGTTCAGGCTCTTGCTAGTCTCTTACATGTGCAAGTGGCAATAGTGTTTGAATAAACAGAAATGAGTATAGCAGAATTGTGTTGCTGCTTCTGAGGACTACACTGTAATAGATTTATAGATGTAATGTCAAGTTAGAGATAAGTAAAATGTAATTTACTCACTGACACCCAGGGATGGCTTAAGATCTGTGCTGCTGTATATCGGGCTTCGGTATTCACATGTAGCATCAGGCTAATTAACTCCTTTGTAAAGAAAAATGAGTGATGAGAATGGGAAAGCAAACTACAGTGAAAATTTTTGCTCAAAGTTCTTTTCGGCACAACTTTCTTACTGCATGCACGTTCACTAAGTTTTCAAAAACCGAACAAAAAAACAGCTCTTCCAAACATCAGCTGTGATGGTCCAGTTTGTTCTCTGTACTCATACAAGTGACCAGAACAAAACACAACTGGGACACAGTGATTCTGTATGGGCAGTACACAGTTACAGTACATAAAGAGCACAAATTAGAACTATAAAACTCGTGAAACTGTTTGAAAACCGTATTCTCTTACGTATTCCTCCAGAGTAAAAGGACGTTTAAATCACTTCACCAGTTTACAATCACCTTGCATAGGAAAAAGCGTATTGATAGGAAAAACTGCTTAATTCTAATTGCATGGTCAGGTCCCAGACAATCTGCAGTTGTGGCTTTCATCATGGCTTAGAGGCAGACACTGGTGCAAATGTCTTCAGCTTTATCAAATAGCTTCATGGACCTTTTGTTAATGATATGACTTCAGTCCATATAGCAATAATTGTTCTTTTAAAGGAATGACAGGAGGGGAAAATTCATTTACGTTACAGTGGTAGCGCTGAATTTCCTGTGAATAGTTCATGATCAAATAAACTGAAATACATCTGATGTTTAGTGTTCTGCTGTACTTATTCACTTGGACAATACCATGATGGTTGGTCTGCAAATGTGAGCTTTCATCAAGTACCATTATGCCAACTAAAAAGGTACAGCCGCATGGAAGAATGGTTAACGTTCTGTTGTGAATGTTCTATCCCACATTTCCAATAGGGCACAGTCTTCTCAGTGATTTGTCAGAAAAGCTCTTTAGAGTTAGAAGATGTATCAGTACCTTTGCTGAATCAGTGATATTATCCCAGTAGGGTGAAGGAAATTCCAGCTTCCCCACAAGTATCTGATCAAAAAGGTCTTCCTGAAGGTTGTTTTCACTGTGGAACAGCAATAATGAAAGAGATAAGAATGAAATCTATCACGCGAGTTTTAAATTTGATTTTGGAAATGGAACAGAATTTGTTATATCAATTATTACAAGTGCCTACTTTGCAGGCTTATATAGCGATGGCACCTCTGAGTTCTTTGCCATAGTTATGCTGTCAGGAGTTACGCAAACTGAAAAATAATATTAAGTTGAAAGGACTTCCACTGGAATAGACTGCGGAGTTAACACAAAATACAATGACTGGGATGGTGATTTAAAAATAAGTCATTTGCCCAGCCAAAAGGATCTGCCACAAAAAGGCGTGTAATAGGGGAAGAATGCTAGTGAAATGAGCCCCTTCTAAGCTACTGCAACTGGATTTTGAAAGTATTCCACAGAGAGGATATGGAAAACGTGCAGTAGACTGGGTATTGGCAGGCTACTGGCTGGATAATTATGTTTGTATCAAAAACATAGGGTCATAAATATTCAGAAGTCAGGGGCAGTGCTGCTTTTTATTTAAACAAACAAAAACTTCTGTTGGTCTCACCTACTGTAAACATCCACTCAGCCTCTCACTGTTAAGAAAAATCAAACCTTTTGTGTTGGTTTTTCAACAAAAAATTGCTAATAATTTGGTAAGACCTAATTCTGATGGCGTGGTATGAATGCTTTGCCTCCGTGCCCCAAACTCTATTCAAAGCAGTTATACTTTATTTTCCTTCTTAAGCAAACTATTTGTAGAAATAATGTTAAGGGATGAATTCCTTATTAAAATATGTCAATTCCTTCTCATTCTCTGACAAAAAAAAATAACGAACAAAACACATCCATCTTATTTTTAGGCTTCATTCATACTGTGACATTGAGAATCACATTCACAAACCCTACCAACCATATGGCGCTTACCAAAAGTGATTAACAAGATTAAAAACTCATCATAAGCAAATTCTTCCCCTCACCTCTGTGTGCCATTAACTTTCCCCTTGACGCTAAACCAGTAAGTTGCTGTGTCCAAACAGAAACACTAGAGGGCAAAGCATACACATTTGTTGAATTGGGGCCCACGTAGAAGACAAAAGGAAAATAAAGTGCTCTCACAGCGCTCCATCCCTGGATACAGTGGCACAAGCCAGTTGCTCCCATAGAAAACTGAATATGTAAAGCTGATACCAAAGCCTGATAAGATAGACAACTGAAACCAACTTCAAAAAGCATTGGTCTAATGTATATTTTTTCCACAGTGCCTCTTCCAGGGAGAAAGATGGGGCTTACAAAATGATTTGGGTCTTTACTATTTTTTCTTTTGACTAATAGAGATGCTCACCTGCGAAAAGGTGGAAATCCACATAACAGTATGTATGTGATCACACCTGCGGCCCAAATATCCACCTTTAAGCCGTATCTGAGGAAACAAGATTGCATTACTTATGCTGGATTGAAAAATAACTGTTTATTGGAGTGACTTGCAAAATTACTTGAGCTGGCTGTATGTTATTTGGATACGTGGATCTTATTTAGATCCTTCAGTCTTGGAAGCCCTGGTGGCACCACTTTGATGGAAATTCCCACCTCCCCTCACCTCCATAAGCCTCAAGGCTCTCCAGGGTTTTCCAAATACACCTGCATTCAATTCAGCATCAAGGTTTCTCAATCAGGAATCCCTGATGAGAGAAGACAATGAGGTGCTTTCTTAGTCCTGCAAACTATCTCTAACGTTATCATGTGTTGCTAAGCAACAAGAAAGATACCAATTCTCCGGTCTCCTTAAACGAACAAGTAACAAAGGAATAAAGAACTGCACCTTTCTTTTTAAAGCACAGAAATTAAAATGCTAGAGGTCAGAAAGAGGTCTTTTTTTCCTATTTCTTTTCCTTCCCAGTACCTTCAATTTGTCCAAATTTAAAACGTGCCAGTGAAGTGCCCTCTGATGTTTGAGCTCATGGCAGCTCTGAAATATTTCCCAATACCACAAATACAGTGAAGGATGCTTGAATCAATCCAGCAAACCTTCTTCCATTCAGAAGACCAAATTCACAGTTAAGGCAAGAGGCAGCTAATATGGAAGGGAGATCTCTTGTCTAATAGATAGCAAGACTTACTGTAAAAATTATTTTGTGTTTGGGCAACCACTAGATAAATACAGAAAAATTCAGTTATTTAATTAAACCAAGGCAACAAACATAATGCATCACCCCGATGAGGTCCTGACCTGGACATGATCTAACTAGACCTGCTCAGAGCACAGGTTTAGACAAGCACCACAAGTGGGGGTCCTTGGGAGATGTTAAGGAGGCATACATGTACTCTGGGAGCGAATGGGGAAGCTGGTCTGTCTGAGGAACTGAATGATGCCTGTTTTCTCATAATTATTTTGTTTAAAAGAGATTGAGGACCATCCTGATAGAGCATTCCAGTTCTCATAACAGTTAGGAGCTACCTGCCAAAAATGACAGGTTACAAGACCTATGTCTTAGTTACTTATCCTCACCCTGTCTCTGCAATGATTTCTGGAGCCACATATGTGGGCGTACCACAGACGGTATATAAAGGTCCTTCAACCACAGTTGCCAGTCCAAAGTCTCCTAGCTTCAAAGATTTGGTTCCATCTGCATATTCACACACCTAGAATCAGCAAAATAGAAACAATGGTGAGGAGGATATTGGAATTTTTTAATTTTTTATTATTACATTTTTAATAATCAGCACCACATGTAGAATGTAGAAAAAAAGAGGTAACTTCCACAGCCATGTATTAAAATTGGGTTAGGTTCACAATTCTGGAATGTCTTCCAAGCTACGTATTTCCATAAAACCAAGCTTCACTTGAAAGTCCAGACGTGAGTAATCTTAATTTAAAAATGAAAATTCATGAAGATAGTTTCTTGCTATTATTTACTCAGTTTCTCAACGCTCTTGTCTTTACAAGTTCCTAAAAAGCCAAAAACTCAGCATTTCTCTCACTAATATTTAGTAATTTAGTTACATGGCCATCTCTGTGGAAGTTTTAAATTTGAAATGTTAGGTTGCTGTCTAGATGCTCGCAGAGTAACTTCTTAGTGTGTCTGCTATAAAAATGTTTTAGAAAAAATACGTGCAAGGAAATTGTATTACTTTTCAGGATGCAAATAGGCTTCAGTTAAACCATGCCTTTGCACTTCTGTGAAAACACTGCATCTCCTCTGTTTTAAACGGGTGGAATCCCAGTTTCTATAAGAGTACCTAGACTGGAACAGGAACAGGCGTGCTATGTTCACAAATAAGAGAAGACATTGGCTGAAATAGCAGTGCTGAAGTTATCCAGTGATACTTGCACTTTCTAATAAATTATATGTATGCAGATTTCTGCTGTTTCTAATGTGTTTTCCAATACTGTGTACCTTCCAGAGAGACAGACAAAATTATGATAAGGTGCTAAAGTACTTCTTGTTACTAGCTCTACAGCGATCTCAGTAAAGTAGTGTTATGTCACCTTCCCCTCCCCCATTATTATTTTGGGTTCCATTAAGTGATGTCACTTTGACCAATTAATCCTTATATATTTGCTTTTCATCATAGAATTTAGTGTAAGAATATCTGTAAGTTTAGAATATCTGTAAGGTTAGATCAGAAAACACTTGGTCAGATAGTACAGCTGGGAGCATTTGCTTTGGACAATGTCAATTACTATAGTTTTTTCCAGCTTTTTTTGCATGACTCGAAAAAATGAACACCACACACAAAATTTGAGAAAAATGCATCTGTTCTGCTACTTTTATGTACAGCGAAACATCTGAGAAAAACGTGTGTCAGATAACAGATTTTGCCATGGAAGCAAGAGTACAGATAACCTCATTTGTATCACTCTACAGCTGTAGCAGTTTGAAAAAATATGAGACAATGATATATTTGGAATCAGGCTGTCACCAGGCTGATCTTTTCTGAACCTAAGATTTCACAGCTGGCAATGGTAGAATCAATTGATTGCTTCTCGAGCCCTATATGTATTTACTCCCATTTGTTGACAGACTATGCCCAAATGAGAGCAGCAGGCTATTTGAACCAAGTCTGAAATGAAACCAACAGAATTAGAAGCGGAGTGCCAACACTGTAATGAATAATCACACTCATATCTATAAACACTCATCTGCTCTTCCCCAAATAACAACTGGAGAAAAACAATTTATCTGAACAATAACATGAAACTTTCAGCTGTGGATGGTTCATGTAATTGCCAAATTACACTTTTTTCTTCTGCCTTGAGGAATGAAGAACAAACTTGCAGTGAAATATCTGCATTCGTATCTTGTTCTGATAACAACTTAGTTCAGTGTGGTTTGTTACCTGATGGTGCTGCTCTCTCCACCTGCTTACTCTCCACCACACGGTGCACCAAATGAGTGTGAATGAATGTGTACTTGTTCACCACAACCAGAAAAGATTAATAAAAGTAACATTAGATCTCAAACATGACATTTCTACATAAGTAGCCAAGTCCACCAACTACCTATGCCTTCCAAAAAGGTACCCTGAAATAAATCAAACATCAAGCTTGAGGATAAAGACACAGGTAATAGCCCTTAAAATAACTGTATATGGCCACACAGCTTGCTCTGAATGAGGTGCAGTACTGTCAGATCAGCACAGCAGCAGTGATGCTTCTACGCACAGTTTGTTCCAGCGCACAGCAACAGATTAGTTCCTTTGTTACACCACAGCTATGCTGACTGTTAAATTATGGATTGGGGTTAAGTTTCTGGTTGCTTGCTCTAGGGAAAGAGGAGAAAAATGGCGTGGCAATTTCTTGCCACAGTGCAGCTGGAGCTAGTGTTCAACTGAGCTGTCTGGCAGCTATGTAGGTCAGCCCATTATATAGCCTTAAGCATGTTAAGCAGGGAGAAAACCAAGCCTAGAATGCTGATAAGTTTTAAATATATTTTAAAAATATAATGACGTATTTGTAATTGATGGGGACCTAGAGATTGGCAGCTACCATCAGATTGGTTTAAAATCTCTCGCTGGCCAAATATTTCTTAGGAAATATCTTTCTAAGCTTAGTCTTGCTGTTGCAGTCACACTAGGAAAGTTCAGTAATAAGAAACCTGACTGAGAAGTATTTAGATTTCTGTGCAGACCCAAATGCACCTGACTCAAAAGCCCCATAGATCATCTTGTTCTGAGTTATTTTGCTGCAGAAAGGAAGGTAGCTTATAATAGAAAGAAAAACATTATATGACAGCGATAACAAGAAAAAAACAAAAACTGGATTAACAGTAAAGGGAACTATAAGGACACATCCCATATAAATTAATATTGTTTTGTTTCCTTGAAGTTATGTTGTTATGTTGTTATCATGATTTCAGTGGAAGCTAGGACGTAGGACTCTAGCATCTCTAGAATGGTGGAAATAGTTTGGGTTTTTTTCAAATAATTGGTAGCAAGGCCTTTCTTCCTTTCTCTATATAATTCATATCATTAATGGAAACATTTTTCTCCTTGATAAACACGTACAAACTATAAGACTAATAGCATATATTTTTGAATGCATGACTGGTAAAGAGAATGTAATTCAGAGAGCTGGATGAACCTGTGCAAAAGAACCAACTACTTCCAAGAACAGGTAGCAACTGATGGGAATTATTTGCATTTGCATTCCATACCAATTAGCTGTCTTAGCATGCTGGTATTGTCAATCACTGTGAATAGGACTTGCATCTGTTGAGTAATCTCTTCAGGCTTTCTAGGCAGAAAGGACATTTGTGTCTTTTTATAATTGATTCAAATACCAATGAGAGCTTAAAATGAATTTAGATTGATTGTATTTGAGGAAGTGCTGATAATTAAGTGATAAATTTTCTCTTTTAAGTGCTGGGTTGCTATGACTATGTTTTCCAGGAGAAGCTTCCTCCCCTCTTCTTTTTGATACACAATCTAATTTATTTGTGGGTTTATGTCAGTTGCTGAAAACTGCCAGTAGAATTTGGTTGGTAAAGAATTAACTATTAGTTAGAATTCAGCTTATAATCCCATCCTTGTAATAAATCAAAATCTATTTTGTGAAAAGCCAGGATTCCTTAATAAACAGGATGGACAAGTATCACAAAAGGCTTTAAGAAATGACCATCAAATGTTAATAAAAGCTCCTTTCATTCCTGATGACAGTGATTCAGGTATTGAAGGTTATGGTCCTGCTTGTTCATTGCATCACACCTAATATCTAACAAGCAGTACATAATTCTTATGTGTCACCTCTATGTAAGCAAGGCAGCACACTGCTCCCATTCTGTGCACTGTTCTATAAGCAGTTCTCAGAACAGACTTTGTGGTCATGCTTTTCAACAGACTCAGTTACTTTATACCTCTGCTGAGAACAAAATGTCATCAGTCACCCATGACAAAATAAATGTATGTACGGAGCTCATTCATGGTTAGAATACTGGTAAGTCATTAGAAAGATGTTCATTCCTGCTATGACAGTAAAATTTAAAAAAGCTTTAGATAACCATGTGATCTCTGGAAGAAGTGGCTCTCAGCCCATCTATCCCCCACTTACAAAATGTAATAAATAATTCATCAACACAGCTTTAAAATTCATTGTTTGGTGAGACCATATTCCTACTTGTCCAAATGGCAACCAATCAAAATGTAAATAAAGATAGGTCTAAGGACATGTTTAAGTATAGCTCATTTGGGTTACAGTGATTGCTATCTCATGGTAGAAGATTTATTTCATATGTACATATTCCAAATTAACATTCCTTCTGTTCCCTGCTCAGCTTTTTGACTTTTACGTACAAGTATTTGCATTAATGAGAAGGAAGTAAGAAAGAAAATATTAGAAAATAAATGAAACGTACCAGGAGATTTTCTGGCTTGATGTCTCTGTGCACAATGTTGAGACCATGAAGGTACTTGAGCGCGCTGGCCAGATTGTAGACCATTGCACTCCCATCTCGCTCTGTGTATTTTGTAGAAGAAGTGATAGCATCAAACAGATCTCCTCCCTAGAGTAAGAAAAGGTAATAGGTCAGTCCAGGAAAAATAATAAAGATAATTTGTAACATACCATGTAAAATCTTGCACAAAAAGCATGCTCAGAAGCATGTTAAAATGTTAAAACAAATAAACAAACACAACAGATAAAAACTCCACAAACATAAAACTTCTCACCAAGATTGTAGAATGGGAACTTGGGTCATTTACTGATCATAGTCCTTTTTTGGACTTGATTTCATTTGATTGACTGCTCATATGCATGATATACAGAGATACCTCCATACAGTTTCTATTTTCTTCATCTTACCAGCTTAATTCTTTCTCTGATTTTGAGTAAAGCCTAAAGAAAATCCAGCCAACAGCAAAAAGCCTAACATACCACGTTTTGCAATTGTAATGAACTGCAAAGTAGAAATGTTGCAGATATTGTAAAAATGTCAAGTTATTACAGCTGAACAGGATGAGTTTGAAGTGCAGAACTTACAGGTGATTTCAGAGTAGGCCTGTTGTGTAGTCTGATTACGATACCCTCTTTATCTTGGGATACATAACAACATGTAAATGAGTTTCTGGTGCAGCATTTCCAATCATTGCCATGAATTTTATGTGGGTGTCTCTATGATGGTTACCCTGGTTACATCTGTAGGAGTGATTTATCTGAGCTGTGGGTGGCATTCCAAGCATTTCAATACGTGTGGAGAAGAAGCAGCAATTCAGGATTTGCGTGCCAAGCTGGTGGAATATTAAAATATTAATAAAATACTTTCTTAAAAACGGAAAAACCTCTCATGTAAAAATAACTTTTAGAATGAGAGATAAATGGGTAGGTTACAAAAATTCTGACTTGAACAACTAGGCTTTCTTCAGTTTCCCAAGCCGGCAACAGCTCTAGAGGTAGTTACAGGATCAACGTTTCAGGCAGGAAAAAAAGTGATGAGTTGCACTCCTCTGACAGGCTGATCAAGCCAATGGGCAGTGTTGCAGTGGGTGTACAGAACACAGGTAAGTGAGAGTGCAGAACACAGGTAAGTGAGAGTGCAGAAATAAAACTCCATCAAACTTGTATCTTACATTCACAAGGTGACAGTAAAATGGAATTAGAGATATTTTTTCTCTGTACGTGTACAATAGCACCATCAAGTTTTTGGACAACTGGAAATAAAGTGAAGGAATGCTTCATACGAGGAAGAGAAGTGAAAGGTTTTAATTTTGATGGAACACAATCAGTGAAGTCTGGACTAATTGTATCTATGATTTTCTAAGATAAATTGAGTTTTTCCCTTTAAAGCAAATAATTAAATATATTGGTGAAATAAATGCAAATTTTCCATTACTATATGCATATCACAGGTACCCTCTGCATGTTGTAAATAATATAAAACCACCACCCACATCTCTCTAGGCTGCGTACATAGTTAGCAAGATTACCTCAAATCTGTGGGTCTAATAGTCTAATTACAACAGAAGAGATGTAAATGCCACTAATGGAACTGATTGATAAGACTATTTGCATGATTAATAACGGAGATTGCCATTGAAATCTTATCTGATTATGTCTCCTAGACATTATATCCTTGGCCGACACAGAGAACTGTTCTTTTTTAAAAAAATCTCCTTCGTTTTACCTTGACCAGCTCCATCACCAGATAGAGTTCTGTTGGAGTGTCCATTTCCTCTATCAGCATAATGATATTTGGATGCTTCACTCGACGTAGAATAGACACTTCATTTTCAATCAGGTGTTCCTGTCAGTAAAGGGTACAGAGGTATACATGAATAGAGATAAAGTGGCCCATTCGGTTATCCTTTAGTCAGCTCTTCAGGGAGCACCCATTTTTCTATTTATTTCACTTATGTAGTAAAGCCTACTGTCAGATGCTGGATTTTAACTTGTATTTCAGCCCAGTTGTACTTCATCGGTGACCAGAAATTTTATTTAACATATTTCAAACACATAACCCACGGGTTATCTCTAAAACAGACCCCAGAATAAGACAGCAATTCAGAAAGTGCAGGTTGTATTTCTTATGTGGATATTAACAGGTTGAGAACCTCTGGACTTGGATCTTTGTAAGCTGCCACCTCCCAGCAACAGCTAACGTGTTCTTGATCCTCTCCAGCCTTCACTTCTCATTTAGTGTACAATATTCAAGGACAGATTGCCTAGGATTTATTTTTCAAGGACTTGCACTTTAAAAAAGGACATGGATTGTACATAGGAAAATGATAACTGCTTTGGTTATGGATTTCAGTTTATTTTACATGCATCTTTAGATACACAATCTGCAAAATATGTACCAGCTCAGTCAACTCGCTGTGGCTCCAAACAGCTGAACAGTGCACAGATTAATTTATCCTTCTAATTTATCCACATTTAATTTATCCTTCTATATATTTCTGAGAAAGTAATGGGTTTACAGAACAATTAATTTCAGAATGTTTGGCTTTCCAGAATATCTTAGCATCTGGTTAATGCTATTGAGTGAAGAAAATTGCATACAATTGCATGCATATTCTTCCACTGGAATAATGATTGGCATTTTCCTTTATAAATATTGGAATACAGTAGTCATATTTAAATTCCCTGTAAAATAAGTAACACTGCCTGCCTAAAACATAAGTTTCCTTTCCTCTGGCAGGTAAGACCTCATCTCACCAGAGTCTGAACTTATTCATGTTTAATGCACTGATTAGCAGCATGCAGTTCATGCATTTGTGAGCAGAGCACGAGAAGTAGATGTGATCCACTGTGCATAAGTGATTAAAGATCTTATACTACTTTAGCTTCTATTTTCAGGTTTACTTATGGATGTGTTGTGTTTTTGCAAAGCTTTAAGTGTCTGTGTAACTCAGAAACCACATGCCCTGTGTGCATCTCATTTTGTGAGTGAGGTGTGGCATATACGGGTTCAGCAGTCACACCTTTGAGATTCAATTTGAAAGAGCATCAATTGTCATTCTGAACAAACATATGTCTGCTCCAAGCAAAGGTGCTCTGGAGGAAGAAAACAAATAAACATGAAGCAATTTTGTTAAACACAATGCTCAATCTCATCAACAGACAAAAGTGAACAGCCACAGCATATTAAGCCTTATGGATGGAAGCCTGTAAATTCAAAACTAGTGTTAGTTTTCTACCCAAAGAACAAATAATGTATATTCAATTTATTATATCCAATAATTCTCACTGAGACACAATGGTTTTTATCTATGCTTTCTTTACTTAGTTTGACTAAATTGTTAAATCGTAATAATCATTAAATCCTTTCGTTTAAACAAAACCCAGGCAGAAATTATTTTTATCTAAAACTAGTGACAATAGCTAATGCTCATTTTAAAAAGGGGTTCCAAAACATTGTTGAGCTGTTGCTTTGATACTCGTTTTCAAAGCATTGGCTAGTGTATAGTCAGTTGGTTTCAGTCACTCCTCTGTTTTTTCTATATTTTGTCATTAAAAAAAAAGCTTTCCAACTTTTTTTTTTTTTTTCCAGTGTTTTCCTTTTTAGCACAATATAGATTTCAGTCTACATTCATAGGAATTATTTGAAGAGAATAATTGGTATTTAGGTTAATTGTAGAAAATGCTTTAGTCAATCCAAGAAAAACCGATAGCGAGCAGTGGGCAACATACAAATCACACATATTTGGTCCAGATAGTTGTTTTTAACACAGGACTTATCTTGGCAAGGAGAGAGGGTGAAGAACCAACTTGTAGTAAGATTTAAATATTTACTTTGTTAAGTATGGTCTTTGCTTGCACATACATCTGGACACAGATCCCTTCAAAACATACAAGTGGTAATTTTTTTTCCTCCTGTTTTTGTTCATTTGTTTTAAAGCAGCAAGAATGATAAGTAGAAAATATGTCTGAACTCTACTGTACAGAATGGTCTCTGGTCTATTCCAATTTATGGCGCTTAAGAGCTGACAACATGTAATAGAAACATCTGAAGTTGAAAGCATTAAAAAATAAAAAATACTACTTTTTCTCAGTAAAACACACTGGTTCAACTTTCCTACAGCCAAAGAAATTTCTACATTTTAATCTCAGAAAGGCAATTTTTGCACTGTTTTTCTTGAGGTTATACATTTTTAAGATTCCTTTCTAAATTCTCCGTTAAATAAACCTAGGGATATGAGATAAAGTAACGGGGAAGGAACATTCATCTCCTTACACAACTTAAAATCTGCATGAATAGACCATTTCTGACAGAGGTCCTCTACTTCAGAGCAAGTCATCACAGCAGGTAGGGTGTCAGTGCAGAGCAGTGTACAACTCCTTACTATACAAAGAACATCATGTGGACTTTCAGCATCTTCCTACAAGGCCGCTCCTATCAATTACAACTCTGAATATTACTCTGCAGAGCAGTTACTCTATGCAATTGATAAAAAGTAATTAAAACCCTAACTCAGTTGCAAAGATAACTCCAAAATCATTTAATTGTGATCATTTACTTAGAAAATTGGATATTTGCATAAAAATAAAAGACTGCCCTTTTAGTTACACTTGAAAGAATGGCATTTATTTCCTATCTCAGAGTCTTTAAAACAAAACTTGACTGCTGTTTAATACTCTGCCTTCTTTGTTGCTTTTGCAACAATGAACTGTGATCCATTTGAGTCATAAGTTCCTCAAGAGCCCTTTGTTTTTAAGGTCTTGCAAAGCAGTAAAATAGAAGTCTTATTTTTTGTTCCAACATTTAGTCTCCATTTCTGACTATGTTTTACCTATAGATTTGTTAGGTTTTTTTCCCTCGTTTTTAAAAGTCTGTGCTTGGGAGGAAGTCTGTGACACTCTAGGATACCTGCTTCTCTTACGTAACATGCTATTCTGTTGCAGGCTTTTTTTCTTTTTTTTTTTTTATGTATTAGAAATAAAGTGTATAGAACTCTCTTGTTAAGAGATCTTTGTTCTACAAGACATTTAACTACATACACAGAAAAAAGTGGTTGATGAAATTTCTTCCAAAATCCATGCTCTATATATAAAAGGGGTGTGTACAGCCATAAAAAGGGATAAGAGATAGAGAGGGAAGGGAAAACAGGAAATTTCCTCTTTTGTATTTTACAAATCAACATAACTAGGCTATGTTTGGTCTGATTTCATTTTGGACAAGCTCTGGTGTTTGTTAGTTCAATAAAAATGTTAACTGTTTTTTTACTCCACAATCTAGCAGACTAATGCTCACAACTTTTATTATTTATTTCTTGAAAGGAATATCACCCTGTAAAACAGATACTCTGAAAACAGTCAGAAACCCAAACACACCCCCCATTTATGACTAATGAGCAGCTGCTCATGCTGCTGCTGCTGTTTTTCTTAAACATGTAAATTGTCGCACACTACCTTTCCGCAGCATTTAGCCTTGTCTATAATCTTCAGTGCAAACTCCTTTCCTGTGGATCTAATGAGAAAAATATGAAAATGTTAATCAGAAATCAGTCAGCATTATGTGGCATTATCTATAAAAATATACATAGTGGAATGCCTTCACCCATGGAGGCTGCTGAGAAAAAACGCACAGAACAGACTTCATTTTGTTTTTCATTTTCTCAGCAACATTTGTGCCTGCTGTTTCCCTGACTACCACAGCCCTATTCACTTAATGTGTTATTCCTAGGCTCCAGCTGCAACTCATTCTTCTGTGACCTAGCACAACTCCCTCTCACCTCTTTACTGCAATGAGCAGAATTTGTCTTGGGCTCTCCACTTTGCTTTGTTCAACTGGTAGGCTTTAAAGATAAAATCATCCTCATTTATGATGTAAGTGAGGAGAGGAAAAAGTGTGATTGTCTCATGGAAAAAAAAATGGTAGGATTCAGTAGAGCTAAGACCCTGTGTTTCATGATATAGTAGTCCAAAATCCTGCTGAATTTATTAGGAGATAATTTTGTATTTCATTCATTCTTTTTTTCTTTTTTTTTTTTTTTTTTTCATCCCCATGAGTGTATGGAACTTTATAGCTATCATCTATAGTGCCATGGCATTTTAGAGTGTGGTTATATCCAAAGTAAAAAGGGTGACTATTTTTGTAGATATTTTCCCCAAAAGAAGGAGCTCTATTTTGCTTTTCATCCCTCTAAGCAATAATAAAAATCTTCTACCTTTATTCAGAAGGGGAAAAAATGAAAGAAAAATGCAATACAAATAAATTACCTTCTTTTTTTTTTTTTCCTTTAATCAAAGATCACATTACTAAATATAGTGAGGAGGAGTTAAAAATCAAAACAAAGTGTCATAAAATCCTATTGCTACTATCCCATTTTTGTGTTAGTACCTAGTGTTACGTGTGCCTCAGAACACCACATGTAATGGTGTTCTCCATATATAATAAAATCACTGCAGGCAATTAGAAAAGAAAAAATTAGGTACATTATTAAGTTAACAAGTTAATTCTCAGTATACTTTTGCATTATATACAGCAAATCAAAATTGCTACCTTACAAAAAAGGAACTGAGTTAACATTTCACATTCAAATGATCCATTATTTAAAAAACGCAGCAGAGAATCTCTGCTCTCAAAGTGCAGCTGTATCTGCTAGGTTGTCATAGTTACAACCTGATCCAATCTTTAGATAGAAGTGTTATCTAAACGGTATCTGTGAAATGCTATCCCCTTATGAGCAGACAGAATCTACTATGAACACAAAGCGTAATTCAAAGCACAATTTATGTTATTCTAAATTAAGTGCATTATCTGAAAGTCTGCAAATAACTGATCAGCAAAACCCACTTAGGAAACCTTCAGCATTTGTGCAGTGTTGAATGAGGAGCTAACATTTGTAAAGCCAGTTCATGAGGCAACTTCAAATCCCTCCTGCAAATGCTATAATATAGTACCTAAGAAAATACAAGGGATAGCAGACGCAGTTTGTGTGTTGATATCACTGCCTATCATATTGACCAGTATTGTCTGACAGGTTGCTGGCATTCCTCTGTCTAGCTGTCAGTATCCATCTGTTGACTCATGTCTTCATATATATATAGACATATAGGCACCCTTTGAAAAGGAGACCATTTTATTTTGTAGAACAGCTGATGTAACGGCTTCTTGGCTCCACACCCAAAGTGTTCATACATGACATGATGAGAAATTAATTATAATAATTACTAGAAATTAAATGAAAAGCATTTATAGTTGGTATTTCCTCTCTCCTTATTATCAGCAACCATTGCATTTTTTTTTTCTTTTTGTAAAATTCATTTAATAATGCTTTACTAAATATAAAGATGGAATTGAGCTTAAATTTGACTTTTTATATTTTTTTTTTTAATGTGAAGGTTGTTTTTCTAGCCCAGTCCCCTCATCCCAAAAAACACAGATGACATTTAGAAACCAAAGTGACATAGTAGCCCTTTTCCCATTTTCAGTGGAAATCATGCCGTTTCCAAAATGCATAGTAGTCATTTCTGAAAATATTAAATTATGCAATCTTATGAGTTTTACCTTCTTTCTTTTATAAACTTTATTTGCTCCACAACTTAACAAAGGATTTGTGGCCAGCTTTAGAGCATATGGGAGGACGCTGTGAAGCATAATTCATTTAGTTTCTCTCAAGCCTCTTATGTGTGGCTTCTTGCAGAACAAAATGGACTTCAAATTCTTTTTTCAGCACACCTGGCTTTATTGCCTTCTTATAATTTTTGTAATGAACCTGCAGTGTTTAAAGCGCTAGGGAAATGATTTCACTGTAATGTGGTACTGCTTGTCAGGAACACAGTTTCCTGGTGGAAACATCAAGCCCATGGAGTCTGGACGTTAACACTGATAGAAGCATTATCTAATCCCTGCACTTGCAACACGAAGTTATTCAGAGTGTACTCATCACTCAGCCATTTTTTATTTTTCCTGTATCAGTACTGTAATCAGATTGCATCTCTAGAAGCTGTCACCTAAGTCTTTATTTGTTAATTTATAAACCTGGTTGCTAGTATGTCATCAAATATTAACAATAATCATCATTATTATCTGCTATAAATCAAAAGAGAGTTCTAGATGTATTGCATATTACCTACCAATACTACTTTCAGAAAAGAAAGAACAGATACAGTATCAAGGAACCTTTCTCTTGAGGGGAAAAAAAGGGGTGCATAAAGATAGGGACTGTAATTTATACATATATGTTCAGCATGTTCGGTCTCACGGCACAACCCTTTTGGGTCATTTGCGTGACTTAGCAAGAATGCCAGTGTGTGAATATATGATCTGCTAAGATTGGAATGAGATGTTCTTGTTCAAAATGATGTTTATTTAAAGTAAACCAGCAGATGTGGATCAAATATATTGATAACTGCTATGGATTTTATAGAATTTGCTCAGTGCTTATAGTCAAGTTGGAGATTCTTCTTAATGTTTAAGCTGACATAATTCTCAGATTGATAAAGAAGGTGGTTCTAAGACATAAACTGAGAAAGTGACAGTCAAATCATCTGTTCTGTTTACAACAGCAGCAAAGCATGACACAAAGCTTGCAGAGAATGAGCAGTAATACAGCACAGGTCTGTAAAGGTGTCCTGCTTATCCTTAGGGAAATCGGGCACAAGAATATTTCAGAGTCTGGAATATTAAAAGGCTGACTTATGGTCTTTGGCTCCACACTGTGCTACCCCACTGAACAAGCAAGCAGAAAGGAGCCAATCACACAGGCTATCTGCTGCTAACTGTATGCTTTTAAAAATACTTTGTTCACAGTATACCAAAAGCTGTGAAGAATGATGTCAGCAGCAAGCAGTAGGATCCCGTAGCAGCAAAATTGCTGAGGCTTCCTGAAAGACTGTGTCTTAGGTGCCACAAAAAATCTCCTGTCATTTCCAACAGTCTCATGTGGTGTGAACGGGTTTCTTGAAGGTCTGTAGTGTTTCCTTAAGAGCCTCCATTAAGAAGTGGTATCTCTTTCAGCTTTGGGGATTAAAAAGGTACATTGCTCTGCTGTTCTCACATGCCTTTGGTGGAATAACACATAGGAAGCTCTGCGTATTTTGCTTTGTCTAGTTCTCCTAAAGTGTAAGCATTTCTTTGTAACTGCCCTTTGCTTTCATCTCATCACATTTCCTATGCAATCGTGCTAATGCACAGGGGTTCTATCCAGTAAAATAACAGTTGTCACTACTGAACGTTCTCCTTGCTCACCGTTCTATGCACTCCTTCACAACAGCAAAATTGCCATCACCAATCACCTTTCCGACTTTATACTTCTCAAGAATGGTGGATGACCCTGAACACTTGTTTCCATTCACACCTGCAGAAAAGCAAGGTCAGTAACACAAAGTGAAGAGAGGTGTCAGCAGGGTGTAATATATTCCCCATAGGTAGATACAGAATTAAAACAGTCACAGATACAAAATGGAAGTGTAAGCTGTTTTCTTCTCTGCTTATTCCCTTATTTTTATTCTCAAACGTAAGAATGAACAGCATGAGGCAGAGTTGTTTGACCTTTCTTGCATGTAAGTCAACTATTACCTTTAGGGTGGATGTATTGTAAAAGTGAGGAATGCAGTTAGAATGCTTTCTGAACTCAAAATACTTTTTCTGAAGTGTCTTCACTTTTTTTGAATATATGAAAGAAAGATTCATCAACAGTACATGTAAAATCCACAATGGCAAGTAAAAATGTATATTTTCTTTATATGATAAAAGGCAGCATCCAGTCCAATTGTTTCAAGTTTTTGTTTGTTGTTTGTTCGTTTAGCCTAAACCAGGTTATGCCACTGTCATATCTAGCCTTCTTCAAAATCTTCATCGATTACCTGGATGAAGGGATACAATTCACCCACCCAGCAAGTTTGCTGATAATACAAATCCGGGAGCAGTGACTGACAAACCAGCAGGCTAACATCTAACATTACTAAACCAATTTTTATTTACAGCAAAATTTTTGCAAGGGCGCTTAGTAATTGTTGGTGACCTACCTTCAGGACTCTGGCAATGGAGTGATTCAGGTACACCATTCACATTGGACGATGATCCACCATGAGGAGGGATCTATGAAAGCAAGTAAGATCTTATTTATCATGATAAAGAAACTGCAAGGAGGAGTCAGGAAGAAATATAGAGAAAACAACAGAAAATTTACAAAAAAAAACTCTAAATTAAACACCTCTACAGCATCAGTTTGCTTTTCCACTCTCATTTTATTTTTACTCTTGCTTTCTCACAGCTCATCTTTCTTAACATAAAACACTGTTTTTCACCAAACTTAAGACACAAGCTTGATATTCCTCTTTATAGAAGTAGTTGAACATGTTTTAGCAAAACTGCTAGCAGCAAAGAAAATTCTCTCCCACTGCACAAACATTCTCTCTTCATTCTATGGAATAAGATAGCTGCAATACACTCTGCATGCTGGGTAACGTCTGTTCATGTCAGCTAGGGATTCAAACCCAGATAGAGCCACCTCTCGACACCTATCCAGCGGTTTTCTTCTAACACATCTACTTCACAGCTGGCACTGCCAGAGGTTTCCCCAGCTAAGGTCTGTCAGTCTATGCCCTCTTTAGATTAACACTGAAGCATGCTAAGAAGGTAATGTGGAAATGCTCTCATGACTCTACTAGTTTACATTTAAACAACATAATTTTGTCTTAGGGTGCCTAGAACCTCTATGATAGCCAGATTTGCTTGGCAGTTTAAAAGTTTGTACTTTAGGTTATTATGGATGTTAAGACTGAGGATCTCCACTAACAGTACAGGTTAGATGTCTTTGCAAAAACAATCATCTAACTGGTTTTGAAGGATGATGTGTGATGAAAACAGCTTTTGCTGCACTAACATCTTAACTGGTAACTTGATCTGAACCCTCGCAGTTCCACTCGAAGTTGTCCTGTCATAATGAGCAATCAACTTTTATTTAAAAATGGGGCGGTGTTCAAACAAATGCAGTGAACAGTAAAAAGTACTGATCTGTTCTACATGCTGCTGTTTTTTATAACTTCTCCCACTACAGTTAAATGTAGTTTAATAATTCAGTAAGTAGTATTAAGTATAAAATAAAATAAACATAAAATTATTACATCATCCCATTCTATGTAGTATTTCTTGCTGTTCTGTGAATTTCCAATACCTTGTTTTCTTCGTGGGCTATTACAATAGTTCTCGCTGCTCACCACATCAAGGATTAAAATGCTTCCCTGCCTTAAGCTCAGTGTCTGTTGAAATGGCTTTGCATGACACCAGGAATCCAAATGCAGCATTTTCCATTTAGCTGACATTGTCTGGTTACACTGCAGAATATTTTAAATCATTAACACTATTGTCAACCAAAAAACTGAACTGACAGATAGGGATATTGTCTAAAGGCTCATGAAATGCTAATGAATGCTTAAGTTTCTAGTGGCAGCTGAGCTGCCAGATCAGCTAAAGGTACGGTAGCTGTACAACTGTACAGCTGTACAAGTTAATTTTGCAGAGCCTCTGTTGTTTACCAGCATTTGGCATAGCAGTAGCATCAAACAGCAACCAGGCAGCTACTACTACTACTCATTGCTAATAACCTAAAATGAGACTGTGTTAATGTAACAGTCTTTCTGAGCTATTTGTTTAACGAGGATTAGGAACAAGGACACTTAGTTTAAATGACACTGATGCAAAATCATGAGTCAGTCTCCTATCCCATCAGTCACATCTTCAGGTATGAAACAGGGGTAACAGAAGAGATCCCTGCAAAATATTAGACATGAGTCACACTAAAAGATCAGTAATCCATTTGGGCTTTTGAATGAGTGAAAATACAAATGAATACCTAGCTCGCATTTCCACCTTCCTTCATCCTTATAATCAGGTCAGAGCATGACTAGGCACGTAACTTCTTACCACTGTATTTACAAGAAGGAAACAGATAGGAGCAGGAAAAAAGCTAAGACACAAAATGCTAAGACAGTAGGAAAAGGAAAAATTCTAATGTTGCTGTTCTAGCTGAGATGATTGATCAGAACCTGAAACAGCAACTTAACCTTATATCTGCCAATAATTATTTACCTCATGGCTCTAGAGATGAGGTCTAACCCACTTTAGCTGTATTTTGGGAGCTGAGTCTACTGGTCTCGGTTCCTCATTGGCAAAACCAGTCTAGTCTTTCCCTACTGTGTCAGAGTAGACATAAAATCTCCAGCTGTCTATGATGTACTTGATTAGACAGAAAAGGTGGGAAAGCGATGTGAGTTAATAGCAAGTGACTCATGGCTAAGTAACAATTATTAATTAGATATTTTCTGATCATTAAGCTACCCAGTGATTTGTGGTATTTTGAGTATCTTGCACGATTGATATCCCTAGTTCACTAGTCATGGCTGGATTTGCACAGAGAAGAGAAAAGGATGCACACTGATACACTACTGAATACAGATGGAATCTATGATCACCGTGCAGATTAAACTTTGCAACAACTCCTCCTCCTGTATTCTAGTCTACACTGTAAGCACCTTCAGTACTGCTCCCCTTACACTGGGCACAGGACATAAATCTGCCTTCTCTCTCAGATGCAAGTCATAGAAAACTCAGACCCAAGGCAATATTATTACCTCATTGTATGACACCTGTTTCTACCATATAACAGCCCAATAATCAAAGTAGAATTTTCTTTTCTTTTTTCTTTCACTATCTGAAGTATCCAGGAAAAAAAAAAATCAATTGAAAATCACAAAAGCTTTTAAAATCATCACAGAATTCAAGAGATGAAGTAAAATGAGTATGCAAGTACAAGGTGATGGGTAAGTGGGGAGGGACTGGCCAGGGGCCCTGAAGATCTGTTTCAGAGCCTGAGTCTATGATTTGGGAGATAAAAAAAACAGCAGCTTGTCAGTCTTCATTTCAGTTAATGCTACTCACCCAGTACATAAGACTTTTATATGTCTTTTGAGTCAAAATGCTACCATACCTCAGAAAAATTGTTTATATAAAAAGATGGAAAAAGTAAGAAGGTAATCTGAGATAAGTGTACATCTGGTGGGATTTTATTTTTCATCTAACGAGAGTCTCAGGAAGGATCCACAGATTGAATTTCACATTCTACTGAAGTAGAATGGTACCTTAACTGACTAACCTTTGCACTCAGGTTAGATAAACTGTCCATGATACAAATGTTTGTAGAAATGTTTTGGTGTTGGTTTTTTTTTCCCCCACATTCAATAAGTAAAACTTCTTGGTAGCCATATGGGATAGTGCCTTCTAGAGCTTTTTTTTTTTTCTGCAGTGTTACTGCTTCCCACCTAAAGGTGTCTTTGTGTCTGTTTCACTTCTCAGAAGACTTCTGTCACCGAATTGCCTGGTCTGGTGTACATGGCTGTACGTGTACGTAAGTGCTTTATTACAATGCTCAATACTAACAAATCTCTAAGATAAAAACAACATAAATACATTTTGTTGCACTGCTCTGGTAACACTGAAGAACCATGCAAAGATTTACTGTTTCTCCTAAAGAGATTCTGAGTTTCACCATATTATGTAAAGCTTTCAGAGAACCCAAGGCAGAGATAACATAGAGTTGAATACATTGGTTTTCTTCCCATCACCGAATAGCCAAGTCTTTTTATCTTCTCTATGAACAAGAAAGAAACTTAATTGTAGATTTACCAAAAGCAACACTTAAAGAACTCCTCTCAGAACTGCTGTTGCCTAGGCTGGATAATTCCTTGCATATATCCCTAATATGCCATTGCTAACAGGCAAACATGCATACAATACTAACGATTACTGCCTTGATGGAGATAGGTACTGATCTCTCAAATCACTTAAGCACATGTTTAACTTTAAGTAAATTAACTGTCCCATTGAAGTAAAAGGGACTAATCAATAGCTTAAAATTAAGCAAGTGCTTAACTTAATTCTGGATTGGGTGTTAATGCCCTTTCTCTTCGCTCAGTAAGTCAAAAAAGTAACATAAGACAAATTCAAACACTACTACTTAGCATAATTGCAATTCTAAGAAATGCCTCAACTGCAAAGTATAATTTTATTAAGGAAAAAAAAAAAAAAAAAAAAAAAAAAGTAAGACTTCAGAGTACTTGATTCCAGTAAGAGACAACAAAACACACCCAAGTAAGGATATTACAACACTACTGTTCAAAATCTCATACATACTATAGTCTCTGATGATTTTTATGATACATGTCATGATTAGTAACACATGTACCAGGTGAGTTAGGAGTCAAAGAACCCTTTATGACATTACATATCCAGGTCTACAAACACACATTAAGAACCAACTGCAAGTAACAAGTAACCATGTAGTTCATGCCCCTATCTGTTATCTGTTATACCTAAATCCTTACCTTGAAACAAACCTCTACAATAAAGTAGTACGCAACTTTGCTTGCTTCTTTAATGTGTGCTATTATTTATTCATGCAGTTACAGTTAAAAGGCAACATTGTGGTGTATCTTTATTTTTCACTTACTAGACTAGAGGCATTTATTTAAGGTTGTAGGAGAATTGTGTAGTGTTTATTATTCTGCAGCCATAGCATAAATTCTGATGACTTCAATATCATTTGAGAGTCCAGTAAAAATTTTTAAACACTTTTACAAAATTGGAATGTTGTAGAGCACATTGGCTTAATGTATGCAGTGAACAATTAATAGCATATGGGTGCTCTATTTGGAGAGCCAAAAAGGAACAGAAGTAAAACCTTTCCCTTAGAAGATAAGCTGTTCATCAGAAGTGTTTTCTGCAAGGAGATTCTGCACTTGTACTTATAAAGCAGTGCAAACAGAAGGAATCCTTGTGGACTGAGAAGGCTTCACTTTAAAGGAAAAGGCAGCTATAATACTGCATTTCCAAAGCCAAAAAATCCTCAGAAATATTCTTTATACCTTCGCTGTCTGCCACAGTATTTATTTATATCCTCATTTTCGTTCAGCTGCAGTTCATGGTACCTTTAAATAAGCACAGAAAACCAGATTATTTGTCTGTGCAGTGATGCAGTTGTAGCAACAAGGAATTCTTCAATAATAGAGAGCACCAGTAATCTCAAAATACTGAAATTGGTCTGTGCTTTCCTGCTGCTTTTGTCATTGGATTTGCCAAGATCAATCTTAGAGTAATAGCAATGGGTTTCTTAAAATAATCTTGTTTTGCATTAAAAATGCTTCTCTGTTACTGTTTTTATGTTGATATTTGCCACTGAAACTGTCATTAATACTAGAACATAACCAGGAAATTGCACAGTGTTCTTGATCCTTTTGGAAATTATCCTGAGATTCACCCACTAATTTTTCCTATCTTTAGTCTCAGGAACACAGCTGGAGCAGATACATCTTAATGGGATAAAATAAGGCATACTCACTACTTCAGTGACACTTCAGGTCTGAGATGATTCGTTTATAGTTGCTGGGTTTTTTTGGTTATATAGGAATGACTTGACGGGAAGACTCATTAATATCTAGCATCAATTAAACTCCTAGATGAAAAGGTACAGCAGTCTACTTCATTGAAATTGACAGTGAAGGGAAAACAGGACACATCCACTTCACAGAGAAACGCTTGAAAAACTAACAGAATTCTCTCTTTCTTAATGGAGCTTTAATCTATTGAACACCGTATGGAGAGAAAAAAAAAAAAAAAAAGCCTAATTATCCAGTTTCTAAACTTGTAATTTCAGTAACGAGCATTTGTTAAGTATTGCACTGAGCAGCTGAGAGCCTCATGTCCACTAATTTTGGCATTCTTTACCATAAATTTATACAAGAGCTGTCAAGACGAATTTAAGACCACGGTTACAATTTTCAATATCTGAACTATTGCAGCTCTTGGAAGTGCTTTATAAACAAAGATCAGTCTATGTTGCTTTGGACAAAAAGCAGCTATGGGATGGTACATCTCATCAATATGAATTGTCTCAATGAGCCAAACACTAAAATATATTGAAATTTAACATGGAAATCAAAGTCTTTTCTCAAGTATCTGGAGAAAAGATTACTCTTCACAAAACAAAGACGTCGTAACAATTAGCATGTCAAAAAAACAGATCTAAATACTATTCAAATCACTTTCTTTGGCCAGACCCTTAATTCAGACAACAGTTCTCCACAGAATTTTGCAGCCTCTTCACAACTGTTGTGCTCACCAAAGGGAGCTATTACTTGATCAGAATAATCAGACAGAAAACCATGTAGTCTGCTTCCACAAAAGCTGCAATTCATGATTCCATAAGAAAATTCTCCTTGAAAGGAGAGCTGCACAAATGCAGCAGTATGATTCTCTGCTGTGTGCTCCAGACCATTCCTTTTATTTTACCAAGTAAAAGGCTCCAGGCAGCCTCTAAGAACTATAAATGTTGCCATTCTTTCATACAAGAGGCAGAGAATTCTCTTGGTGCAACACAGAGAAAAGTCTGCCAGATTTCAGGCAGCTCTCAAAGGAATCCCTCTCATGCTTTCTGGCAGGAGATTGCATTAAGTAGTGAAATTCTGTGCCACAGGTGAAGGAAGGGTGCTTCAGATGAAATTTTGAGCAATTGCTGCAGGATGATAAACTATTTTGAAGAGGATACTACATTAATATATGCTAAGGGGATATAAATTACTCCGAGAATTTATGCCATCTACAAAACAGTGCAAAAACTGAAGGATAAATTGGCGTATTCAAACCACTGTCAACATCTTCAGATTTCCTTAAGCTCAGTTCACCACCCTGCAAAGATGGTGGCAAGACACAAAGATTGCTAAATGAAATACAAAAGTCGTACATCAACTCCCTCTTGCACTCTAACCTTGACTTTAACCTCATACTAGCAAGGCTGCTCCATAGAATTATAACCTTTTTTTTTTTTAAACTGTTATTCAGTGTTACTGTAATACACCAATTAATAAGAGAATAGAGTATTTTTATGGATCTGATACTTACCTTGAGTCCACGAAAGCTGCCTGGGCTTGTTGGTGAAGAACTGGAGGACTTTGTAGATTTTGGAGTGGATAATTGACTGCTTGGTGTTCCATTAACTGCCAAAAATAATACAAGCAAACAAAAGGAAGATGATTAAAAACAAGCAAACAAACCCACCTAACTAGCTCTAAAACATAATATCTCTTTCTGACTAGATATCATTCAAATCTGTACATAAAGATCAAAACAGACTCGTCATCAATTAGGAATAAATTATGTGATCACATGCCACAAAATTATTCACCCAAAACTCATGTGGCTATATATGGGTTTAAGAGAATACACAAATATCACATTGCTCTTTCAGAATTTTAAAAAGTCAACTCTGTACTTTGCAAGTGTGAGAGCTTTTATAATAGACGTAATCTCTTTACATTCCAGAATTTACTGTGATATTGCACAACAAAATATAGGGAGAGGCTTTTTCTCCCTTTTGTATCAATACAGTACTTTTCAGGTATAACATTCTGCAGAACACAATTTTTGATGGTTTGTTGGTTGTGGGTTTTTTTGCTGTTTTTGAGTGTAATCTAAATACGTTTTTTTCAGCTTCAGCAGTCTACCTGTTAGTAGACCAGGCTGACTGCACTGCAACTTGCAGAAATTCTTGTTCTTCACAACTGTGCCTCTCATGTGTGATGTTAAGGTACAAATATTTAGACTTATTATAGAATAAGTCTGTCTCGAAATCTTTTAAATCGATTCCCAAACCACTTACAGGACTAAGAATTTATTTTTTTCTGCAAAAGATATTTAGTATTTCAACATAGTTTTGAGTTTGACTTTAGCAAGGGTTGCACACAAGCAATAGATAAGTAACTTCAGCTTAAGTGCATTTTTAAAGAAGTAAAAGGAATTTAGAAGCATATGTCCCTCGTGCAGATCTGTAAATATGCTGCTTTTCATCATTTTGTTTTACATAAACTTCTTTGAACTGAGCATGTCAGCACCTTGTTGTTTCGAAAGGAATTTGCAAGTATGAAGATGAGAAGGGCTAGTAAATGCTGTTAGAAGTAGTTCCCAGCTGTAAAGTACATGAGCAAAAAAAGACCAACTATTACTACAGAAGAAAAACAATTTTGTTTCTTCACAAATTCTTTTTTATGAAACTCATAGATAAGACAGTCTTTCCTGAACATAACCATTGAAGCCTACACCATTAGTCATCTCTATCTCTAAGTCACTATCACCCTTTTAAGCAATGGCAGAACCACTAAGCTGTACCTAAGAGTTTGGCTAGTTAACAATCTTCCCTCTTTTAAGGAAGAATGTCCCACCATACACTCACAGTATTCCAGCTCTGTGCTTGCTGGACAAGTGTGGTGGCACTCTGAGCCAGGGGTGTGATTAAATGACCTCCTGAGGTTCCTTCCAACTATTTTCCTACTGTTGTTATACGATACGTAGCACACTCTGCCAAGGATCTGAAAGGGATGTCTGTAGATCACAGAATCACAGAATTGTAGGGGTGGGAATGGACCTCTAGAGATCGAGTCCAACCCCCCTGCAGACAGCAGTACCTTTTTTTTTTTTTTTTTTTAACTTGGAAAACAGAAGCAATCTGTATTTATTTTTAGCACTTAGCTTGTTTGCTGAATTGATTTGCTGATTATTTCATGTATATGCAAAACTTGCAATCTTAAGAATTTTCTAAGTGTAAGTACTTTTGAGTTTTCTTTCTACACCGAAAAAGCAGCTTGAACATAAAGAAAAAAAATCTACTCTGTTTTTCCTTAACTAGTACATGCTAAGTGACAATTTACTGTAGTGGAATGCTGAATACTGTAAAACCTGTGAATACCTTTAAAATTGTAAAGGTAAAAGTCAACACTTTTAATATGGTCCAAAGTCACAACTTCTTTGCTAATGAAAGCATAAATTACTTGAAAGAGATTTAGTGTTTCAGAGCAATACCAGCAAAATTTTCACTTGGAACTGAAGGTTGAAAGAGGTTTCTTGTCATTCCAGCCTTGGTTCTAAAACACCAAAAGAAAAAAAGAAGAGCAAGAGGCTGCAAATAAAAAGGTGTGGTACACGTTTCTGCACCTCTCTTGTCAGCGCCTCTCTTGTTTTTTTCCACTACCTGAACATTTCTATTCTGCTTCTCAGAATGCTTTTCTACTTGTAGTAAGATTAATTTAACATTAACAATGGTAGCAGATGTCCAGCAAACAGCTATAAAGCGTCATTTAGATTATCTCAGTCAAAGACCTACTTTTCACAAGAATAATGGATGCATTATGGGTCTGGCTCAGTAAATGCAAAATGTGCATTTCAATCTTAAAAATACTCACAGATGCAGAGGAAAGTGGAAATGGAGAGGAAGGAGACACACTAGTGATATACAGCCATAACAGTAATGGCTCACCTGGGGATTTTGCTGAAGAATGAGCACTGGAGTAGTGGCCACCCTTCTTAACTGTACTCATATATTTGACACAAAGGAAAAAGACATTAAGGAGAAAAGTTATTAAACAGCTCTGAACATGCATGAAAGAAAGAAGGGGAAAAAAAAAAAGATAACATTACATGAGAAAAAAAGACAAGTAAATAGAAGGATAAACAGCAGACACTTTGGATAAATTTTCAGATTAAGCTAACCAATGGAAGTGTCCAAGGAGAAATAAATTAGGAAATGGCAGTGCTGATTTCTAAATACTTTGCCTAAAATTCACTATTGATAATGAATATATTCTATATATGTCCTGTGCAATCTGACTGCAGTTAACAGGATTGTATGAAATACAGGCCATTCCTGAAACTCACCATTTGAGGCTTTCCAGTTAAATATATCAACTTTGCAAACAGAAGATAAATATTCCACTTCTAAAGATCTCACAGACATAAAATGACTTTAACCAGCATCTATTAAGCAATAAATATTGATATGGATGTGAGAATTTGGAACGTATTGTATTTTTGAATACAGGCACAGGAGCTTACACATATATAATTACAACTGAAACAGAGCACTGTATATTTACATATTCAGTGGTTTGATTTCAGGACTACTTCTTCAGGTCTGAGAGAAAGAAATCAATTGAGTTTTATTTTATTTAAAAATTAAATGCAAAACTAGAATAGGAAAAACAAGATTCTCCTTTCTATTTATTTGTATAAAACACTCAGTGTTTGGAACAGATGGGATTCAGTCACGCTTCCGTCAAAAACACAACATGAACCTTACTTTGAAATTATACAGAGTACAAGAAAAAAAAATCTCTGTTAATGAGTAATTATATTCCAGAATAGCTCCGAAACTTGCTTCAAATAACAAAATCCTGTATTTTGACATTATTTGGTTTAAATAGGAAAAAGCTTCTGAATTCAAAACATTTAAGGCTATAGTCTATGAACATCAATTCAACCACATAGCCATCCTATGGTTTTCAAGCAAATCAACTGCTATGCTGAAAGCATATCCCATGTAAACTATTGGCACAAATTATTCCAATCTTCCCAAAATCGAACTTTTTGTGCCTGTTAATTAATAAATAGAAACAACATTTCTTCTCAGGACTCAAAAATAAATGTGTGTTTTCTTATAAACTAGTACTAAATCTATGTGAGAAACAGGTAAAACATTTTTATCAGGAAAGAAAGCATACCAGTTGTATTTCACAAAGAGCCAATAGCTTTTTCAACCCCTTAAGCAACTGCTTGAGTGTATTTTATGTGCTTATCCTAGAAGTTGTACCTGATGCGGGTGATTTGCTTCGACGTGAAGGTCCTGGACTTTTGGACCCTGAATACCTCATGCCAGATGATCGGGAGTAAGACGATTTCATAACACGGCATTCTGCAAACCAAGCAGGTGGAATTTCAAACACAATCCAGTGTACCAGCTTTCTGCAAACCCTGCAGTTGCTGTTTATTATCCAGAAAAAAACATCAGTATTTTCCCGATACGCTTGCCAAGCCGAATGAAGCAATCTCAGGACTTAACCCACACATCATAAAAAAATTTTTGAGCCAAATGCTTTATGTAACATTCCACATGTCATATTCAAAGTCTTGAACTTGGATTATGATCATTATTCAAGTTTGTACCTATGCGTGGCCAAATGATTGAAGTCAGTCAATGACAATGTTCCTCTGATAGTTCAGTAAATTCTGTGTGCTGAAATGGCAACTTCACGTAGGGTAAATGCACAGCAAGCTTATTTTACCTTCTTTTGCAAGAAACTGATGTTGTGAACAATTTTTGAAGAGGTGAAAAATGCCTATTGCTTCCAAAATGCTGAGACAACAGATTACTGTAATTTACCATCAACTATATATCATGAAATAAAGGACAACCCAAATAGGAAAGGAGTAAATAATCATACATGTATTGACATTTTTGAAAAATTTAAATCCCTACAGTTAGCATCTATTGCAAATCTCTCCCCATCTAATCATATCGTTTTCCTTCTTAATTTTGTCCCTGTTATTCATCACTGTAATGGCAATGCCATGACTATTCTATCAAGTCATCATCAAAAATGATACGTAGAGCTGTATGCCCCAGCCATGATCCACTCTGTACTGAAATTGCTTTTATCTATTTATCTATTAAGTCCTCCAAAAGTATTATACAAAGCAAGGCCCATTGATGGTGAAGGGACCAAGCGAGAAAGAAACCCTCTATTTCTAGTTTCTCAGTAAGGAAATCAGCGTGGTTAGTCTGCACATGTTAGTATGGGAAAAGCAAACTTTTAACCAAGGGTATTTGTATTTTTGTCCAGACTAGAATTTGCAGTGTGAGGTAATACGGTCATGTTCTCTTATGGCTGCACAAGAATACAACTGGACCTCAGCTAGTTTAAAACTGTATGTAAAAATTACCATTTATTTGAATCAACATACTCAGGTAGTTCTAGAAGAGCAGCATGCTGGCAATAACAGTAGAATGGGAGAGAGCTGAATTTGCCAACGCATTCAGGTGTATAAAACACTGTGGTTAGGCATATAACTATATTACTTAATATAATAGAAGATTTTGTAATCAAATTAGATTGTTTATAACAATTAGAAAAAACAGCATAAATACACAATCCAAAGTGAACCTCAAATAATCTGATGATTCTTGCCAGGGCAATTATTGTTACCCACAAAACTTTCACAGTATAAACAAGCACAACATTTGGTCTACAGCATTCAAGAATGATATATGAATTGTTTATCAGGACAATCTGAGACATGAAATTAGCAGTTATGTATAAGATTTTTCAAAACTCACATGAAGACAACAACATGGAGACCATCTTGTACTCCGCAGTTGTCAAAAGAAAATGTTTGTAACTGGCTTTAGAAACACTAGAAATGTAAGTGAACCTTTTAAAATGCAATTTTAGAAATTACACTTATATTAGAAATTTAAGTGAACTTTTTTAAAATGCTGTTTTCCAGGCAAGTTTAAGGACAGGATTTGTTTCCTAAGAAAACAGATCATGTTTGTTGGTGGATTTTAACTGATGTACAGAATATAGATGGTGGGTTGGGAAAAATGCTTTAAGTGATATGGAAATATATTCCAACACATATTTTCCTATATCATATAGCTCTTGAGGATTGACCAGAGGTTAGGAAAGACCTCAATGAATTTGTTTCTAGTGGGTTCAGGAAATGCGGTCTTACCACTGTGATCCAAAACGAAGTCATCCTGAGCATACCGGTATTTTTCAGGTCCACATGCAATGAAGACATCATCATCTCCAAAGAAGTCCTGCAAGCATGTCACCTTAATGGCAAAACGTATAGGGTAAAATAAACAAATGTAGCATTTTCAAATGGTAAATCTTCCGTTAGTCAGCAACTCTTATTAAGTTTGTGTACTCCTTTTTACTCTAATATTCTTCTATAATAACAGTCGTTGTAGTTCTCAAGTACTTTAGCTATTCCTCATGTGAAGGAACACTCACAGTCAAGAATGTAAATACTTCCTGCCCCTTACCTCCAAGACATGCTCCTCTTGTACTTCTTCTACCTGTACTTTTGCCTATATGTGCATGGTAATGGCTTTGCATCGAGAAACCCTACTGGTAAGTAGCATTAAAGCTTCTGGTACTAATGGCTTGTGAGCAAACTGTTCAAATTTTTGATTCTATAATATTTTTCTTAATGCTCTAATGTATTTAATTTTCATCTTTAAATGTTACATCAAACCAAACCACTACTTGTCCCTTTTCTTAAAAGGTATTCCAGAAAAAAACAAAATATAGAGTTCCTTCCATGCCCTTCACAGCTCATTCTGCTTTTAACTGTTACAGTACTATTGTTACAATCTATTTCAAGAAAGATGAGGCTTTAAAAAGGACAAATGCTTTAGACATTCTTTAAAGAGACAAAACTAAAGATCATGGAAAAAATAAGAACAAAAAAGCAACTAAGCCTCAAGAAATCAGTTTGTGTAGGAGTAAATATCTAATTTAGAACAAATTAAAACCAATAATTCCACAAAATAAATCTCACTGAACTGCTTTTAATTCACTCTAAGAAAAAAAAAAAAAAAAAAAAAAAAAAAAAAATAAAAAGAAGATTACAGGTAGCAAGATAATTCTTAAAACTAATCTGATCAGCATTTTCCTGTGTAATTGCTTTACATCCTCTCCCACTCCCAACCTTCCCCACCCCTTCTCTATTATTTTTAACATTCTTTTTTGACACTGCATACCCTGAATGAGATTTGGGAATAAAAAACAGGCAGAAGCTAGGAAAGGTGGAACTATTTGGTAAAACCATTTAATTAATTTATTTATAAATTTATATTTTATATTATTTATTTATTATTTATATATATTATATATTATATATATATATATATTATATATTTATTTATTATTATATATTATAATATTTATAAATTTAATTAACCAGGTAAAACAAATAATTGTTTCTAGGGAAACGCATATTTCTCCTTTCCAGCTACCTGTCAGCACCATTTGCATATTTTACCCAGGGTGATAATGGCAAATACTGGCATATCTGGAGGGAGGGCTTGCTGCTGCCTGCAGCAGGCAGCACTCAGAATACCAATGACCCTGTGTGCTCTGCAAGAAGAGACCAGGCAGCCAGAAGCAGCACAGTTGTCATGGCAGCTCACGCAGAGCAGCAGCAGGTGCCCCTCCAGTACCGTCCTCATGCTGTGCCACTTGCAGTATCGAGTATTTCTTTCACTGTATCAGGGAGACAAAGGATTCCAGCCACTAACTAAATCCTTTTATTTTTGTCCTACCGTCTTGACAACAATCTAGTCACACTGCCTGGAGACATTTTAAGCTGCACTTGAAATTGCTACCAAAGAGGCAGTAACAACTTGATTCAAAAGGCTGTACAAATTTCGGAGTCTTGCTAACATGCTAACATCCCCTCTACTTAATAACCCTCTCTATTAATAACTGAACATTGCCATTTCCAGAGATTTCAGATTTTTTTCTTTCTTTTGCCAGAAGCCTCACCACTGAAGCAAAAGCAAGCTTTAGGAAAAAAAGAGACCAAATATCCTTCCCACCTGCAAGGAGTAGGAGGGCAGAGAACTCAACAGCCAACTCAAACCCACTATTATAAGAAAAGCTATGAGAAAGCGTTCAGAACAGTCATCCAGGATGCACCACTGCAAAGAGAAAGAAGCTCTCTGTGAAGCACAAGCTCACATCCCAAGTCCCAAAGTGGGGGCCGTTCCCACAGGCTGTACACCCATCACTTGTTTGCTTGTGCCTCTAGTGCCATTGTAGTGCTGTTTTGAGCTGGTTACATTTAAATGCTGTACTAAAATGAATCTGGTTCTAATATGAAGCTTCTTCCTGACTCCTTAACACATCCAGAATAATATCCAAGCTGTAAGCTGGAGAGGACAGAATGATGTGTCTTATCTCAGATCGTGAGAAATACATGGAGATGTACATATGATATCATGCGTGGTATCATCCTTTTGCTGTTTATAGAGCAGTTCTACACACCAATGAATCTACAATGATCTGTGCACAAAAGATGACTGGAATAGCCTTGAAAGTGCACCTTAAAAAAAAAAAAAAAAAAAAAAAAAAGGTTTTTTTTTCCATAGACTTATGTATAGTTTCCTCACACAAGAATTCATAGTAGAAATTGACATAAGTACCATCTATCTTTTCCTTTCCTGGCTATTTCATAAAGAAATGATATACATCTCCATGGGAGAAATAGTGTTACACCAGTAGCATTCAAGCCATGTCGAAGCATCCAGTGTCGCAGTGTGAGCCAGGAGAACAAGTAATGGGCAGGAAGCAATGACTGGCAACCAGAGTGGAAGGCCTAGCCAACTATACTGCTCTTGACGTAGCAAAACTGGATGTAAAGCATAACAGTATTTGACCTCTTCATCCACAGACTATGACAATGCTGTTTTTACTTTATTTATGCCAAATAACAGCGCAACAGCTCACAAAGAGAAGATATCCTTAAGGTATCCAGTCGTCTCAAATGCAGTTATGTTGAATGGAAAGAAATTTACACGCTGAAGTGAATAGTATTGTGTTCCTTAATTATTACCTGGGGGTTTTAACTAGTTTCATGTTCTAGTACAAACAAATTCAAGCTTTTAGCACATACACTTGTGATGTAACTTTGAAATACAGATAATACAATTAGTGACAAATTAAAAAAACCACCACACAGCAGATCAGTATCAACACCTTCCAGCCAAGAGTTCACTGAATAAATTGTTATTTATTCCAGCTGCACAGCTATGTTTCATCCTAAACATAGAATGATGAGCTGTAAAGAGAAATGGACTGATTCAATTTAGCATGGCTGATTCAATTTAAATAACAGCAACAGGACTGTTCAGTTTAAGTCTGCAGAACCACACCCTGTGTCTGGGGAAATCTGCTCGGGATAACAAAATCCCCATATCAGACGGAAATTGAACTACAACGACCAAACTGAAAAAGATGGACAAGATTATTTTCATTTCTTTTTAAACAGTAAAGAAAAAAAAAATTATATTTACTGACTTCAGGAAAACAGGATATGGTATAAATATTTGAAAAAGGAAGTGCATAAAATACAAGGCAAAAGAAAAACTAAGAGAAACGATATGCCAAGTAAAGCTGGATTTGTGGATGTGTTTTTCAGCTCAGCAGTAGTGACAAGCATTAAAGGCTGAAGCTCTTAAAAAAATGCAATGTGTTGTTTCATTTTTTGTTTGTTTTTTTTTTTCCCGCCATGAATTGCTACCAAAAAACATAATAACATATTAAATGTCACTGTGACAGAACTAGATATAACCTCCAGGCTATTACCTTCAGTCTGACAGGTCTCCAGTTCTCTCCCAAGAAATGCTACTCATCTTTGACTGGACCAGATCACAGCTTGCTGTCCTGACAGTTTTGCCCTTTGCAACTTTTTTTTTTCTGAGTAAGCAAAAGTAAAATATTTGTCTATTTTACCAGACAGGCTAGCTTTGTAATCATCATTTTTGTTTCCCTTTTTCAAACAAAGTTAGCATTACTGAGGTTCAAGGGTTTGGCAATGTCCTAAAGAGCAAAGTACAAGGAAAGCAGTCCTGCAGAAATAGGGGAGTTGGCCATTTTCTATTTCAGATCCATCACCAGCAAGGGCAGACTTAACTTTGAAAAGGAAGAGCTTCCTCTGAGCATCCTCCGAAACTCAAAGAGGAAGGTAAAAAGGGCAGTCCCACCCCTTCCTACTGAGTACTGTGATTTTAACACAGATTTTCTTACCTTGGAACTTCCTCTGTGTCTCTGCACTGCCTCAGAACAATTTGACCAAGCCAAAAGAGATGGATGTGTTTAACCATTATTCTTAACTACTTACTAAATCATCAGTGTCCTTCACTACTCAAACTGAGACCAGAACAAAAGAGGTTCAGCACTAGCTTAAGGCAGCTATTTGCCTGTTTATACCGAAACACATTTCCTGACAGGTCTTCAGTAAACTGTGAGAGAGCAGCCAAACCAGTAGCCAGGACACATCCTGGAAGACGCATACAAAGATAAGTCATAAACCAGTGAATCCTTGATATACCCTTCTTAAAAAAAACAAAAAAACAAAAAACACTGGAATTGCCAGTATTCTTTTTAATTAACAACATGTCACTTGGCAGAAATTACAGTGTCAAGGGCAACCACGCTAAGTGAATTAGAAACAGGTGAAAAATAAATTGTGCAAGAGCCAGACAAGCATGGAAGCCCACATTAGAGTACACAGGAATAGCAACAAAAACACTGCTAGACTAAATATGTGGTAAATTTGGAATCTAAGGTAGAATAATAAAATTCTTGCTGGTATAGAGAAGAAGCACTTGCCATCTTTGAGGCTTAACTAGGTCAAGTCACACAGAAAGAATGCAAAACTAACAGCTGTTACAAAATGAAAAAGTTCATTACCTGATTTGTTACACGTCTGTGCATGTTGGTGACTTTGAAACCAGCAAATTTACTTTGCAATTCAAAGACTTTCCTTTATAATAATCTCCTATATTTCTGAACAAAATAAAGAATATTTTTAAAAATGTTTTACTTTTATCAATTATTTAGATACTCTAACACCATCCTAACAATCTCAGTTAACCAGTTAGTGAAACATCTCCTTTCTCTCTATGGATGGATGAAGTAGTATCCCCTCACTAAGCTGCTGTACATTTCCATAAAGCTATATGTTACAGTCTGATTTCTAGGCTAGAACAGGATATAGTCTGATTAACTTTTCTTTCATGAAGTTCAATAGACAGCTAGAAAATAATTAAGTTTCTTGAATATACATGTATATTTAAAAAATAATATTGTAAATATTGAAAGACAGCTTGTTACCCTATTCTGGAAAAATGGGGGAAAAAATTGAAAAAAAACTGTAAGAAAAGAAGAATAATGCTCCTAGGCCAACTTTCTAAATGACTATTTAATCATGGACTGTGACACATTTTTAGAGTCATAATCAGAAAATGAACCTTCTTTCTCAGATATCCTGTGATGAGGAACAGCAGTGAAAATGAAGGAGACAAAATCCTTCTGTCCTACAGGGAATCTGAAGAGTAAGAAAGAAAACAAATGTTAAGTATTTGCCTGCTGCCTTGTAAATGGAAAAAGTTTGGCAGTAAGCCCAGGAAACGCCTAATACAGTATGACAATGCAGAAAGACTGCATAAACAGACTGGTCAGGGCACCAGAACTCATGCAGCTATGTGGAACAGATGACAGAATACAGCACATACCACATTTTAGTTTAATTTTAAATATAAACAGGTTTTTGCATCTATTTTTCAATTTCTCTAGAGTTGAATTCAGAAAACGAATACATGTGGAAATGGGAGATTGCAGTTGGGTGCATTTCAAACAGACAGATCAACTTCTCTGCAAAGGAAATGACTGCCAGAAAAATAAGCTCTAGAAATATGCACAATATGTGTGCTCCTATCACGTATCTTTCAGTACTGTAGAACTTTTTGGCAAGGCCCACTCACTGGTTGTCCAAACAGAAGGCCTGACCTCTTTCTGCAAAACAGTATTTCAAATGTTGCACTAATTATGTGCAGCTATTTAGATATAGGAACAATTACAGTAGAGAGGGACTAAAATTCTGTACATTTTGAATAGTTTTCACTCACACCATACAAAACATGTCATCATTCTCTGTAACAAAAAATATCCTGGAGCAACCTTTCTCTTAGTATTATCCAGTACTTGAAAAAGGAGTTGATTGTTTCTGTGTATTATGTGATGGTGAAGTTCAAAACCCCACTTCTCAATTCAAAGAGTAACACAAACAAAACCATACTAAACTTGGAAATAATTGGAAACTGGAAGCAGAATTAACTAATGTTAAACTCATGACTGTAATCCAGTCTGTCTGAAGAAGAAAACACAGCATTTTCAGTCGACAGAATTATATCTTTGCCCACAGAGGCATTAATCACAGCAGTTCAAATAAGTCAGCATAACAGATTCTTTCCTTTAGTGGCCCAACTGGGAAGACTAATGCGGAACCAAAAATAGCACCTGACTTCATACAGCTAGCCTTCCATCTTAGTTCCGAGTAGCTAGTCTAAAAATAAAAGCCACTTGTATTAAGAAAGAATTTTAAAAGAAAAAGCAGACCTAAGACCAGACAGCTGGCTTAGTTTAGTAAAATATGGATTCAATGAAACAAATGCAGTTAAATTATAAGCTATGTTGTTTTTTCCACAGTACCAGCTCCTCTGCACTACTGAAGAAGCCAGTAGTGCCCTTAGCGAGTAGTGCCTAAGCGAGAACCTTACTTGACAAACATGGAATTCACGTACTACGTATTACAGAGGATTTGGAAGAATGAAATTCACTTCCGCTCCTTTGACTTTTTAGATGAGAAGAGCTGCTGGGACACACAGCTATGATCTGCTACAATCCTAAACTTCCACTGTTTGTGAGCAGATCTTGTCTTCAGGTCCTAAAATCAACCAAAGTGAAACTCCACATTTTACTTTGCGTGGAACTGAGTGGGAGCTGCT